ATTTCTCTATTTTGTGTCCTAGGCTACTACAAGTGCTAATGCACCCGTCTCTGTATTTATTGACGTATTCGCCCTCAATAACTGATTGTCGAAACTGAATACCCGTGTATTTATCAGAACCAATTGACCAATTGACGAAAGTGTTTGCACTATCTGGGATATTTTAGCGTGTACAAGTAAATAAATGTTATGAGCTAGCATGACAAGTCTGTTATCTACTGCAATTCTTTTGTAGCAGCAACGTACCGGACCATCACCGGAACTGGAACAACTAAAGGCAGAGCATGCCCAGTGCGCCCAACAGATTCAACAGAAGCAGCAGCAGCTTGAGACACTGATGAAGCAGCTGGAGGACCAAGCGGAGGAGATCCTCACTACAAAGTAAGGTTATCCTCCTGAATCGATCTACCCTATTCCGCTACTGCGCAGTCATCAAACAAAGTGACAGAATGTATTTTTAAATTTATTTTAACCGATAGGTGATTACGAAAAGGTGACTGCATGCTGGCGGTGGGGGATGAATCAGGGCATTTCTTTTCTCACTATAAACAATCTGACGCGCTTGTAACCATCACCTTGCGCTAAAAACGCCTGGCTTGGAGGGGTGCTCCGACTGCGCGGTCAGCCGAGTATACGTAGTGTTGTGTGGAGTGGCTAAATATCGAACTGATAGTCAGGCTGCAAAAATGCGGCCGTTATGGCACTTCCACGTAGCCGGGATCCTAGCCAAGTGTGATGACACGCATTGGAGGGGCGCTCGATCCCGCTTCCAGCCTCCTTGACTATGTCTTGGCACCGGGACCAGGGGGGTGAGGGGAGCGCAGGGTGAGAGTGAGGTAAATGCAGCAAAAGTAAAACTGTCACTATAATCCAGTGCAATTCACCATCCCTGCACCACTCTGCTGTGGAGCACATGGTGGACATAGTAGAAATCGACGGTTGAATTGTCGGTCGGTCGGTTTGTAGGGCTATTACCTCAGTACAATGACTTAAAGCCTGTACGCTATGAGGTCACAGTACTGTGAGAATACATTTCTAGTTAACTGCTGTGGCCACGAATACGGGATTCGCTGAAGATGCGTTGAACAAAAAGAGAATCAGATTGTTTCATGGCACCTACTAATCGGCCTTCGCGCTCCTAAACTACTGCTGTACTCACGAAGGGTGTGGTAGCAGTTATAGTCTTAGGCCTTCGCTTCGCGTCAGCCAGTATGCCCATAACAGACTCAGGCTGTCGACTGGTGCAGGGACGAGGGAAGGCAGTGAGGCCGCCTCGGCACATATATAGAAGAAGGCCAAGTTAATGTGTAAAACCGTTGCAACTGCGATCTTCAGGCCAGGTTCTGTTGGAGAAGAGAAGAATTGCGACGCCAGATGGGATGAATAATGTATTCGGTACAGAGGTGGGGTAGAACCAGTGGAATTAATTTGACAGTCGGACGAGCATGCGTCCGCCACCGACAGGAGGGAGGCGGCATCCGAAGTTGTGACAGCGCGGCAATCGTCACGGTGAAGTCCTGTGAGTCGGCCTTGAGGGTGATTGACCATACTGGCTTGGGTAAGGCAGGCATTGATGCATGCACACTTGCTAGCAGCCGTGGGAGGCAATTGCTGCGCGCAGATTGGTATCACTACACATCCATTTTTTATGGCACCTCAGCGCATTCCTCACTGCCATAAATATAACGCATTTTAAGCTATTTCACGTGCTAAGAGTCCTGGCCTTGATGGTCGTCCACGTCGAGCGTAACTCACACGCTCTCGGGACGGAGATTCAAAC